TAATATATATTTATACTTTAGTAATATTATTATAATAGTACGTATTAAGATTCTTTCTACTTATTATAGCTCTATAATAGTATCTATATATATTAAATAGTAGTCCTTAATAGAAATTATATATATTTTGTTTTATTTTTTAGTCTTTCTAAGTAGTTCTTAATTTATACTTTTATAAAAGACTACTTTACTCTTTTTTTATCTTTATATTTATAAAAGTACTTCCTTATTTACTTAACTCTATTATACTAGAAACTAAATAATATTATTATACTAATATTTATAATAATATATTTCTTTATACTTAAATAGTATATTTATTATATAACTAAAAGCTTCTTATTTAGATAGTTTACTAAAAATATTTATAATAAAGGCTAGTAGAGTTTTTATAGAGCTTTTTATAAATAGAATTCTATATTAGATTTATAATCTATTATTAGTATACTTTATATATATATAGTAGGTTTATAGTTAATACTTTAGATTCTATTTATTATATAATTAGACTTATAATTACCTTCCTATCTTTTATATCTATTTCCTTAAAATCTAAAGGCTAAGAATTAAGTTTTAGATAATAAACTTAGTAAATAAACTCTAAATTATTACTCTAAGAATATTCTAGGATACTAGACTTATTATAACTATATAAAGCTTATATCTTTTTATTTTAGCTACTAAACTTAACTAGATATATAAGTAGATTCTATTTTATTATTATATAAAGCTTATATTTACTTAGTATATATTATATACTATCTACTTTAATAGTTTACTATTTTATAATTTTTAAGCTAATAGATTCTTTATATTCTACTAAATTAGATATCTATACTATATAAAATACCTTTTATAATCTATTTCTACTCTTTATATATAAATTTACTTTTTTTTATAATAACTTAATATTAGGAACTAGGACACCTCTAGTTTAAGACAACTACTAATAGGACACGTTTACGTAGGATAAAGCGTTATTAGTTAGGTTAACTAATAATAACTTATTATAAATATAGATAGCTTAGCAGAGTCCTTATAGCTCTAGATAATAAAGAAGAGAGATTATAAGGGTCTAAGTAACTTCCTAATAATTACTCTCATTT